TTTCCTGGGCGCTCACTGTCGCTGGAACCCGGTACCCGGGAGGCTGGAGGCCAGGGAGTCTCAGTTCAAGGCCGCCCTGGGAGAGTTAGTGGGACCCTGGCTCGAAATAGAATTTTAGAGGAGCCCCGGGGGACTGTGCCCGGGGCCGGAGCGTGGGTTGTCGCCGCACCTGAATAAAAAATGGGAAAAAGAAAAGAAAAATAAAATTACCCCGAATTTGCAATTTGAGAAAACATGGTTATGATTCGCTTTGCTGCTTACCTTGTCTTTCGTTGCCCACATCCTTCCTAATTCCCCTAAATGTACCGTGGTTCCGATTATTCAGATGGGAAAAGTAAAGACACTATATCTTTGGAATTTTGCTCATCTCGGAAGAAAATAACTCACTTGTGCGTTTGAGTGAAATTGAGCATCTTTTCAGTTTCTGTTGATCATTTGCATTAGTTTTTTTGGAAACTGCCCTTTCATGTTTTTGCCTAGCTTTTTAAAAATTGAGTCGATTGATCTCTTTATTTGAAAGAGGTATTTAAATATTGAATAGAAATAGCCTTGTGCCCATCAAGTATATTGTATTTTTCTCCACTGTTGCTCTCTATGCAAAATTTAAACTTTTTAATAGTCTCAATTTTTTCATTTAAGAATATTAATGGATTTTGTCTTAAATTAGGAAGATGTTCACTCTGCAAGATTTTTTAAATATGCTCATTTTTATTTAAGGGGGGAATCTAGGTTTATATATTTGTTTTTCTAAACGGTTTTCTGAATAACTTTTCAGAACTGATTTGAAAAATAAAGCCAAGCCAATGGACCATAATTTGTGGTCCATTTCTTCTTAACAAACTTTTTGTTCTGCTATTATTCGCAGTGTGGTTTGTCCATGTTGCAATGAAATGACATCCCCGAATTATTCTAGTTTAAATTTCATGAACAAATTAAGATTAAATACTAGCTAGTGAAGTTTTTGTTTTTTTAAGTTTTTATTTTTTTAATTTTATTGGTACATTTTACGTATATAATATAATGACATTCATCATTGGAGATTTGTACCTTTACATTTACATAATCTTGATTCTTATTTTTCCTGTATCCTGCCCTCCCTTCAACCCCTCCACCCTTCCCTATTGACAAGTGAACAGTTTTGCTAGTGAAGAGTTTTTAAATTTAATTTTTAGAAAAGGCCAAATATGCACTGATGTCATTAAAAATTCTTTCCATCCTCTTTAGGTCCCCCAAACACAGTTCTTCCTGTTAACATAGGCATCTATTTCTATTCAGAGAGATCTAGAGGTGTTCATTATTTGTTTTAATTTGAACAAAGTATGTGTCAGAATACACAATATATTTGTCCTTGAAATGCTTATGTTGTCCTCAAATTAAATTATTGTTCTCAATGGACTTTTTCATTTGTCATTTGAAATCTAGTTTCTTGCTCTCAACTTACTAAACAAGAATTTAAAACCAGATGCTACTCAATTGACTATTTTAGGGATGATTTGTTTTATTTAAAACAAAGAAGAAATCAGTGTTTCCATATTTTAAAAGGTCCATTGCCAAGGTGATTGTTTATTCCTTATTTGTTGTGCATATTTGAATTTTCTTGAAGAGAAAATCATAATACTTCAGAGATTGTCTAGGTGAACTTTTTTCCAAGTATTTAAAATATATTGTTATAACAAACTCATGGTATCAGTAGGGAATAATCAGCAATGAGCTCCTGGTTGGATTTGTTCTGCAGAGTACCTGAAGTTAGGAAAAAAGATGAAGATTCATTCCATGGACCAAGGAGCAGAGCACATGCTGGTTCTGTCCTCAGATGGAAAAGCCTTTGAGTACCGCTATAGCATGGAACCTGCACGGTGGGCATTGCTTTTCTCTTTCATAAGCTATGATTTCATTTCACCCAGAGGACAGTTCGTGTAGGAAAATGTTACCCTATGAGATTCCTGTCCTGTCCTTCATAAAGGAAAGTCCTAAGTAGGTGCTGAAGTTTTCACTTACCCAGTGAGGTCCATGAATACAGCAAAAGCCCATATGTGGGCTAAGGCTGAAATGTATTTTAAGCACTTAAATAAAATGATCAGTTAGTCCGCCTAGCCCCAAATAGGTCTATCACGTATTTGAACCTTCAGCAGTTGTAGAAGTTGTTTCCAGAAATAACAGTTTTCAAACCTAGGCAGGGAGATGCATCTTCCTGGGGTAAAACTTTTTCTTAGTAGATCATATAAAGTAGAATGTGTTTCCACCTTACAGGTATTTTTCCTGTCATAGAGTTGTTTGAGTAAGAGTATTTTTAAATGACCTTATTACAATTATAAAATGTTATGTTCTCCAAAAAAATAATTAAAATGTAGACATAATTTTAGAGGTACTGAATATAATGCAATAATTTAAAGGGTTTTTTCTTGCATCTCACTGCTAATTAAATACATACATAGTTCCAAATCCATGTTGTAACTTTCATTATGGTGACTGACATAAAATATACTCTCTCTCATCAGGTTTCAAAACATTTTACAAGAAAAAAATGTAATTCATGTTGCATGTGGAGATTATCATTCTCTTGCACTCTCAAAAGGTACTTTTCTGGAGTAATTGCTTTTTAGAACTAATAAGTGTGTGTGTGTGTGTGTGTGTGTGTGTGTGTGTGTGTGTGTAGCCAGTTGAGTGCTGCTTTTATAATGAAAAAAGTAGTTTTGAATTTATGTGGATCAGAGTATTGTTCTTAATGGAGATAGAAATGAGAATTATTGGATGTATAAAATCTTCAGGTTTCTAGAATTACTATTCCTACATTTTGTTTGATACTTTAATTTTTAAGTAACAAATAGTGAAAATTTTATGAGCAATTAAAACCATGGAGAGGGGGTGGTCTGTTTTATTTTCTTTTTGGTTTCAGAGGGAAGCTGTGTTTTTCATGTTGGCTTTGAACTCCAGAGCTTCTTGCCTCAGCCTCCCAAGTAATAGCTCAGTTTTCAGACTCGTGCTCCCATACATACCCAGTTCAAAACTATTCTTTGCAGAATTTGGTTCAGGCCAAGACGACTCATTTCCAAAACCTTCCCTTTTCCCGCCACTTCCATACTCTTCCACTTCTGTGGGAGTATCTCAGAATCTGCAAGTTCTCTATGAGCTCCAGGTGTATTTTAACACCACCGTTTGAATTCTAGCATTCTCCTCAGCCCTTAAGTATTTCATGTCGAATGCTGTGATTTAGGAAATGTCAGCAGTCGATATAGATTATGTCCTGAAGGAACATAACTGTGAAAGGAATAAATGAGAGAGCAGAAGGACTGAGGGAAATTCAGGCTAAAAGCAATTTTTTAAAAACATTGATAGACTGAATAGAAACTGGGGGAAGTAGCCCAAGCATTTGACCTGCCATGAAGGCTCTGTTGAGGCATGGGAGGTGAGCCTGAGAAAACACTGGTCACTGTCCTCATCCATTCATGAACAGATTGTTCATGTGGAGTATCTTCTAGGGCAGGTTAGGACAATAAAACAGACCTTCCCTGTCTTCATGAAGTCTAGAGTCTAGGGGCATGTGTGCTGGTGTGGGCAGGGAGGAGGGGATATTAAAGGTTTGCCATTGAGTGAATCTGCTGGGTATAGAGACTCATACCTATAACTCCAGGTACTCAGAGGTTGAGGCCTGAGACTTATAAGTTACAGACCTCTTTGGGTAACATACTGCAGTTTTTCTAAAAAAAAAAACAAACCCATCAGGGCTGGGGATTTAGGTCAGTGGTGCCGCCACCTGCTTCGCAAGCGCAGAGTCCCAAGTTTGATCCCTGGTAGCAAAATAAAACAAAAACCTATCCTTAATAAATCATAATACAGAGAGAATAGGAGTTGAAGATGCAAGGAAGGAAATTAATCATTTTCACATTTTCTTCTTTGTGGACACTAGAGATTTGATAATTATGTTTAAAGGAGAACCCCCCACGTGCACTATATCCTGCACAGAATATTGCAGAGAGGTACTCAGTAAACATTTGATTCTCTGATACGTATTTTTAGAGTCCCTTGGATATTGGCAACTCCATTAGATAACATTTTAAAACTTCATTGAAAAATATGCTACATATATACAGTTAGTGGAAGAAGCTCACCCTTTAAGATCCCGAGACAAGTGTCTCAGTTGTCCAGGCTGGTTCTGAACCCAAGAACAAGGGATCGTCCTTTCTCGGCCTCCCAAGTAGCTGGAATTACATGTGAGCACCACTGTGCCTGGCTTCAAGTGCGTTTTTATATAGCTTGTTTAGGATCTTTGACATAAGAAAGAAAAAGAAGTTGAAAAAAAGCCTAGTCCTATATTTTATTTTCTTAGAGGTAGAATATACTTGATTTTTATGGGCCTAATCTGTATATTTCTTTAAGTAAGGGCAAGGTGTGGTATGGTAAATGTTTAACTTTTAAAATTTTTATCACACTGAAAGACACAGTACTATTAATCACTCTCAAAATATTCTTCCTCCCTTAGCCTACTGTTCTTGCCACCTTCTGGACATCCTCTCCATGACAGTCTTCGGGTGCATTGTCATGGGGGCCACAATGTCTGGAATCAATTCAAAACATTTAACTCTCATTTTCAATGTGACAAAGAACCAGAAATCGCACATTGCAAGATTCCATGAATAAGGTGGATGAAGAAACACTATAATGTTTTTATTTGACAGAAACTGCCTTATCTGATTCATCAACCCAGTGTGATCAACAAATGCAGTGAAAATTTAAACTAGAAACTTTACTACAGTGGAAGACATATTGCCATTCATCCCCTTCATAATCTCCCACATCCTTTGAACATATTTATCCCATCATTCTTGACAATAGCTGTTCTCCTATAAGAAAACATGTTTAATTTAAACATTTACCTTATCTTTCATTCACCTCTTCTGTTTCTTGATTCTGATTAACCTGCATTCAGATAGCTTCACTGTGCTATCCCCATGCACAGATGTATGGGGACAAGGAGTTAGTGATTTATACCATGCAGTGTACACAGCACCCTGTGGTCACATTTGCTGCATTTGAAATTTAGTAAGACCGCATTTTTTCCCTTTGTATCAAGGTGGTGAACTCTTTGCCTGGGGACAGAACTTACGAGGACAGCTTGGAGTTGGAAGGAAGTTTCCCTCAACCCCCACGCCACAGGCTGTGCAGAGCCTCACAGGAGTCCCCTTGGTTCAGATTTCTGCAGGAGGAGCCCACAGCGTGGCCTTATCCATGTCTGGAAACGCCTACTCATGGGGGGAAAATGATTGTGGACAACTAGGCCTGGGCCACACCAAGAGTATGGAACATATTTTCAAGTTCCTGTTGTCCATAGTGTATTGGTTAGATTTGAGGCGAATTGAGCATAGACCTCCCTGAAAGTGGTTCACATCTTCACTTTGCTTTGCACTATTCTTGATCTCTCTGTCTTCAGGCTGCAATCAATTCTAGAGACATGCTGTGTTAGTTTTCTCATTGCTGAGACAAAATACCTGAAGTTAAAGAGGGAAAGGTTTATTTGGCTTACAATTCATAGAAGTTTCAGTCCATTAGAAAAGGAAAAAAAAAAGTGACAAATTTAAAAGAAATTACCTCAAAGCCGCCTTTGTTATTACAAAAGAATATGGAAATTCTGCTTAGGACCTCATCCTATCTTAATCTTATTCTATAAAGCTTCCATTATGTCTCTACACATATAAAAACCTTAACTTTCTCTTATTGAGGAATAAGGCAAAATTCCTCATGATCCAAGCAACTCACTAGAGTTCTCCTTTGTAGCAAATGCTGTTGCTTTACCTGGATATGTTAAAGTATAAAGTACTGTGGATCACTGGTCAAACACATCCTCTCCCTGGCACAGTGCAATCTGGTATAGAGAATAACCAGTAAGTCAGTGTTAACAAAAATATTCAAAGAAGGAAAAGAGTAAAGGGGCAGTTAAATTATTTTTTCTGATCTCTAGTACAAGGAAAATAATCAAAGGAAGTAAAAGATAATGTGAGGTGAAGATGTTGCCTTAGAGAGTTCAAGAGAAAAAAAAAAGAACTTGGTCATTAAAAATAATACTAGGGCTGGGGATATAGCTTAGAGAGTTCAGAATATGTAAGGCCCTGGGTTTCATCCCCATTGCTACAAAAGAGATAAAATTGATCTTAGGGCTGGGGATTTAGCTCAGTGGTTCTGGCTCCTGCCTTGCAAGCTCAGAAACCTGAGTTTGATCCCTGGGTACCAAAAAAAAAAAAAAAAAGATTTGAAAATATCAGATGAGCTGCAATTAAATTTAGGTAAAAAAGAAATGAACAGGGTCTGGAAAGTGACTTGACATTTTTTTGTGGCTTGAGCCTTTAAGTGTGACTCCAGCTTTATCCCTAGAACTCGGGCCTAAATATGCCAATTTAGAGCTTTATTATTGTCAAAATGGGATAGGTATGGGCTGGGGATTTAGCTTAGTGGTTCCACTGGCTACCTCAAAAGTGCAAGGTCCCAAGTTTAATCCCCGGTACAAAAAAAAAAAAAGATGGGATGGTTATGAACGGTGGTTAGGTTGAGAGGAAGCAGTCTAGGTGATGCTATGACGCTAGTGTGAAACTCCGCCTTTCTCATTGGTCACTTGAGCCGTTCTTTCCCTGCACAGATACAGATTCTCCTTCCCTTGTTGAAGTACCAGACCATCAGAAAGTTGAGTTTCTGGCTTGTGGTGGTGCTCACACTGCCCTGGTCACACAGGTGGGTGTGCCCATCTCCTTTGTACTTGTGCAAAACTTGTGTGTGGGGAGCTAGTGTTTCCGGGGGAGAAAGTCACCCCTTCCATGTGTGAGGATGTCCTCCTGGTATCTGGGAGCTCTCCTTCAATACTGCCTTTGCTTCCTGTTCAGTGATGCAGAGGCAGCAGTGAGTATGACGTGTGTGTGTGTGTGTGTGTGTGTGTGTGTGTGTGTGTGTGTGTAGTGCTTTTGTGGTGTTTGATATGAAGTCCACTTTGCTTAGGACGGGCTCATGTTCACTTTTGGTGCCGGAAAATACGGGCAACTCGGCCACAATTCAACAGAGAATGAACTAAGACCCCGTTTGGTGACTGAACTCAGTGGAAATAGAGTGACTCAGATAGCATGTGGAAGGTAAGTTGTAAACTCTAAGTGAACACTGATAAAATCCGTGTAATTAACTGATAAAATCCGTGTAATTCAATAAAATTTTCATCAGCATCTGAGACATAAATCCCAAACATTTCCCAATGAAGATGATTAATTTACATGATTCATTATAATAATATTTTAATGTGCATTTTCATTTTCATTGTTTTTAATTTTTATTCTTTTGGAGGGGGATAATGGGGTTCTAAACTCAAGGACTCTCACAAGCTAGTCATGTGCTTTACCACAGAGCTATGCTCTAAGCTTAGTTTTTGTAAGTAAGCAAATGGAGTCCCCTTTCTATTGCCTTCTTAGTGAAATGCTTTTGTAACTGTTTAGGTGCACTTTTTTGTTCTGTTGCGACAGGGCCCCACTGTGTACTCCCGGCTGGCCTTGAGGTCGTTGTGTAGTCCAGCCTGGTTTAGAGTTGGCGCAGCATGAGGTGCACTTTTATCCGTTAGGAAAATAAGTCATTATATATTTATTTAAGAAAAATACCAACATGAATCACTAAGTTTATTCATTAATGTAAATCACCATTTTGTAACTCTTTGGGACCAATAGACTTTTAGTTATCTAAATTTTTTCATTTTACAAAGATACTTATTTCACAGAATTTAAACTTCTCACTTTTGTCAGGTTAAAAAATTAGAGGCAAACAATGGCTTACACTTTTAAAATAAATCATTCCTCTAGTCCCCATATCTGTAATTGTAGCACTCAGGAGGCCGAGGTGGCAGAACACCGTAAGTTCAAGGGCAGCCAGAACTACGTAGTAAGACCTGTCTCAGTAAACCAAAAAATACATACATACCTAAACAAATACAATGTAAATACAATCAGTGTGTTTGTCTTGCTACTGAATTCATGTAATATTTTAGTTCCTTGGTCATTTGACCTCATCCTGTCCAATTCTCTTTTCTTGTTGTCTTTTGGTCACTGGCCCCAGGAGCGGTGGGGTCAGGACTTAGAACATGGTGATGATAGCTGTTTGGTAAGATTAGATTTATTTGTCCTTTCAGTCGCCTCCCATTACTCCTGACACACTAAGATTAATATTTAAGGCCTGGAGTGTTTAGCCTTGCACTCAGCATAGGCCTTACTTCGGAGGATCTGACCGGAGAGTGATGGAGAAGCGGGGTAGGAGTCTAAATTGTAAGATCGTGCTTTTTAGTAGTGGGGCCTAAATTAAGTGCAGCAACAGTTAACTTTCACACTGATTTGTTCACAGTGAAGAATAAGTGTGAATGTTAGTGTAAAATATTCTTGAGAATTTTGATTTTCACAGCTCTTTTTTTTTTTTTTTTTTTGGGGTACCGG